GAAGAGCTGCCTGGAAACAACGGTGCAGTGCAGTGAGGCTTCCAGTGTATGTCAGTTAACAAAATGCAGTGCAGTGAGGCTTCCAGTGTATGTCAGTTAACAAAATGCAGTGCAGTGAGGCGTCCAGTGCATGTCAGTTAACAAAATGCAGTGCAGTGAGGCGTCCAGTGTATGTCAGTTAACAAAATGCAGTGCAGTGAGGCCTCCAGTGCATGTCAGTTAACAAAATGCAGTGCAGTGAGGCTTCCAGTGTATGTCAGTTAACAAAATGGAGTAAAAGACAAAAGGGGGCTAGGAAGGCTGCTTGGTGGTGTCCCGCAGGGTTCACAGAAACATGATCACTAGCAGCCAGGTGGACGAGTCCCTGCATGGTCCCATGTAAGGAACCAGGACGAGGCGTCCCCTCACGTGTCCTCTGTTCCATTAGCACCCAGGAGGACGAGTCCCTGTGTGTCTCGTAGGTCCCATCAGGGAGCATCTCGTAATGCCCTGGAAGCTGCCTGTTTGGTTGCTAATTAATATTTCAGATACAATCCTGCTAATCATGTCATTTGGCTGTATTTTTAAATGCGCTAAAGACAACAAAAATGCACAATTGTGGAAGACGTAAACACTGCCTCTGGCTCTGCAGAGGGCCTACTGTGCACTGTGACTCGGAAACTCTGCCGAGCAGTGGAACCCCGCCAGCCCCTGCCTCTTGGAGCTGGGGTGACAGCTCCGCCCTCTTCTTGTCTTCTAGGGACAGGATCCAAGTTTGGTGGGAAAGCAGGTCACGGTAATGGCCTTCCCATGTGCAAAGTGTCCAGATGCTCGGGCCTCCCTGCCAAGGGCGGTCGGGGGTCCGGCCTGCTCCCCCTCCTCCCGCTGTCCACAGTACCCGACTGTCCGTGGCATCCATCCTCTCCCCACCGCAACCCTGGCCCGGGGAGTCATACTTCCCAAACACACTGCCCCAGCACCTGAGAGTGAGGCCCTACACGATTCAAGTCAGTTCCGTCAGGGGGAATCCAGCATCTCTGCTAAGCAGCCGGGCAAGCACCATTCTCTCTTTCCGCTGGACGTCCAGCACAGGCAGGGGACCCGACGCAGGATGCCGGGTACAGGCGGGGACCTGACGTGGGGTGCCCAGTATGGAAGGGGACCTGATATGCCTGGCGGCGGTCTGGGACCAATGGGTGCTGGGCCAGGTGGCAGGGGTTCCTGTTCGCTTTAGGACCACGGTCACAATTTCCAGGATTGGCTTTGGGTGTGGATGGAGCCACCAGCCCAAACAGCCTGTATGTGTGGACCCCAGATACCCACCCCCACCACCATGTCTGAAGGTCCCCAAATCTAGAGTTTAGGGGCTTGTCCAGAAAACACCATTCCTTAGCCGTTTCCAAAGCAAGAAGTCAGTCAGGTTTTTCCAAACACAGTCACTCTGTGTTTATTTCAACAGGAAGCTCTTTAAGTTGCCATATTAAATGGGAAAATGGCACCATCTGCCATAAGCCGAAGGAGACCTCAGCATTAAACAAGGGGCAGGATTACACCTGAGCCGGCACTCTGGTCTGCAAGAGGCTCCGAGGTTCACCCAGAGGCACCACAGAAAAACAGCCTATCACTCTCCTTCCGAACAGTTAGCTACTGAAAACCTTGTGCAGCCTTCAAGTCTTGAACAAATGTTTGCAAATGCATGTAACTACTAAGGGCTTCCTGCTGCAATATGTAAAGATCAACCACAAATCATTAACAGTCAAACCACCCTAAACAAAAGGACCCGAACTGGCACTTGACGAGAGAAAGACCAAACTCGTGGCCGCTAAGCGTGCAAAAGCTGCTCAGCATTTCAATGAACCAAACCCCGACCCACTGTCATCAAGACAATCCGACTCCTGGTGCCCTGAGTGTCAGAGCAGAACTGTGCTCCACAGGGGTTCCCAGGCTGTGACCTTTCAGAAGCAAACTGCCAGCCCTTTCTGCTGACGCACCTCTGCGGGGCTCGAAGCTGCCAGTCTTCCCTTTAGTAGCCAGGCGAGTTCACCGGACCACCCTGGGGCTCCTCCAGGAGCAATGAACGAAGCACATTAAAATCACAGCAGTCACCACACACACCTGGCAGGAAGCTCCACCAGGAACAGGTGGCTTATCCACAAGGGTAAGCAATTCCACAGGGAGCAATTCCTGAAGACCAATTGGTTCCAACTTCCCAGAAGAACAGCCAAACAAGGAGCCAAAACCCAAATCAAACCCACTGTCTTCCAGTCCATTCCGACTCACAGGACCCCTACAGGACAGAGGAGAATTGCCTCACAGGGTTTCCAAGGCTGTCACCCTTTACAGAAGCAGACTGCCAC